GCTGCCACGATGGGGATGGCGTCGCTCCGCAGGTCATAGCCTTTCTTCTTTGCTTCTTCATTGGCGAGTTTATACAGACTCTAAGGAAAACGCAAGTCCAAGAGGTAAGTCAAAGGTTTGACAGCAACAACCTGGAGATTAATTACATAAGGGATAGGAACTAGATTTATTACAAAAAGCATACAAACTAGGAACAGTCTAAGTATGTAAAAAGAGAGGAAAGTAAAGATTCTTTCATATAAAAGTCATATAAAAATATGAAACAGCAAAGATATAAATGAGATAAAGCAATAGAGAGTATCACAAATAAGCATCTGTCTATACATAAGCTAAATGCAAGGGAAATTGCAGAGCAAAATGTTCAATATTATTCATTACTGTCTAAATATACATGCACTTCCATTCATTTTTGTATTACTTCAACATTTCACACTAGCATACCATATTTTATAATGTTTAAAGTTTCTTTTAAAGAAAAAATTCAAGTGTGATTTAAAGCATAGTTAAATTGACTGTGATTATAGACTACAAGATTCTAGACCGTACCACATTGGTAAAATATGCACCTAGAATTACTAGATTTGACTTGGGAAAATTCAGTCAACAGTGCTGCTCACAGAGAGCACTTCATGCCCAGGTCTAAAGTTTCCTTTTGATAATAAGATCTCAAGTCTGCAAACTCTAGCTTTTCTCAGCATCTACTCACTCTGCGCAGGAGAGGGACAGTGATTGAAAGATTTGTCTAATCGGTAGGAATGGGATAACTGGGCGTGCTGGCTCAGTGTGTACCTTCTCCTCTGAGAACAAACCTAGGGCCTTCCCCCTGCTTCTCCAGGTGCCAAGTAGGTCCTCACCTGTGTGGGATGAGGGGGTTGGGGGAGGGGGTTGGAAAGGACATTTGTCCTGCTCCAGTGTGGCTTGCACCTGGGTGGGGAAACTTAATTCTAGGGTTCATCTAGAAGGCCCATTTGACGGTCATACACGTGTTCTTTGGCTTAATCAGTAAAAAGGGTAAGATTTCTTCTACTTCTTTGCTCTATTCTTGCTTTCTTCTTTAGGAACCAGGTGCAGGGAGAGGCGCACACTATTGGAGCTCCTCTTGGCAGAGCTGCCAGATTTAGCAAATAAAAAGATAGCACGCTCAGCGGAATGTGAACTTCCAGTGCTCAGTGGAGAATTATTTTTGCTGAAGTAAGGAGCCCTGGTGGCTCTGTAGGTTAGCCATCAGGCTGCTAACCACAAGGTCAGAGAGTCGAACCTCTCAGTTGCTCCTTGGGAGTAAGATGAGGCTATGCACCCAGAAGGGTGTCCAAACTATGAGTTGGAATCGACTGGATCACAGTGACAATGGTTGAAATTATGAACATATTTTATCTGGAAACTCTAACCTTTGGAAATGCCCAAAGTGCAATAGCCAAGTTTCACTTGCCATAGCCAAGAACTTAAAAAACGACGGGATTTCGGTTTGCTGGTGGAATCCTGGGGAACACATTATTCACCCCAGCAATGGAAGGTTGGATGATTGAGGGTTCAGATGAAAGCGCGACCAGCATCATAACTCAAGTCTGAGTGTTTCTATAAAGTGGCAGCAAAATGGCAAAAACAAACAACGACTACAATAACAAAAACAAGTGTAGCAGCATGCATGGAATTTGGCCCCACCTCGCTGTAGTTGATTTTGTTCTGTCTTGCCAACATGATCTCCGGCGTATCAGGCATTATATGGATTTGAGTCTTGTCTTTATCCCAGGCCTCGGTGTATAAGCGCTATGAAAGAAAATAAGGTATCGATAAAACACTGTTTAAAAAGGCAATTACCAAAAGTCAAATTTAGACAGAATTGATGATTGGCCTCGGTGGGAAAAATAAAACAAGACTTGCACCTAATGCATTCAATGGACAGCTTAACCCTCACTGCTGGTTATGAAGGTTAAAAGACTGGGAGCCGGCGAGATTATTTTAGAGGATTTTCAGCATGGAGTTCACAGAATAAGGGGCCGGGCAACACAAGGACTAAGCGCTTGGCTGTTGAAAGGACAGCGGTGCACACCCATGCTGCGGCCCCACGGGAGAAAAGGGAGTGTGACTGTTCCCACGAAGACCGCAGCCTAGGAGAACCTGTGGGACGGGTCTCTTCTTGGGATGTACGGTTGGAACCGAGTTGGAATTGGCCCGATGGCCTGGACCAATAACAGCAATCACGCACAGAGCAAATGTGACTCTAGGGCAGTGGTTCTCAACCTTCCTAAGGCCGCGACCCTTTCACACAGTTCCTCATGTTTGGTGACCCCCAAGCATAACATTATTTTCGTTGCTACTCCATAACTATCATTTTGCTACTGTGATGAATCGGACGAACCGCTGCTCTACAACCCTGGGGAGAATTTTGACTCCTCAGAGCACTAAAGGGTAATACCATCTTTGGGTATCTGGGAAACCTCAGCTTGAGGCAGTGGGACCTCACCTTGTTCATGGTGATGGCATTGCTCTTGGCCAGCACCTGTTCTGGGGAGTCAGTCACACTGGTAAATTTCAGCTTGTCTGGAGGCTGCCGGTAGATGTTATCACTCAGTATTTCTGTAGCTCTCTTGCACTTGACCACATCCAGGGACCCAATGGGGACCCAGCCAATGCCTCTCAGCCACTGGAGATCAGCTTTATAAATGTTCTGCAAAGAGAAAAAAGCAGTAATGCTTCATCAACACCGAGAGCTTTTGGGTGAAGATGTAAATGGAACCAATAATAAAGTGCAATTTGGCTTTCTTTTTATAGAAACAAACATCCCATGTTAGGCAGACTAAAGATGAAATATGTTTTGAAAACAACTCCCTTATAACAACAACAATAACAACAAAGATCAGATATTTCAGGCAGTTAGGAGAGGGGTGACCCCAACTAACATTGTCTGTCAGTCAGTTCCGAGAATGTTGCTGTAATTAGAAGGTCCATGTATGTGTACAGGAACACAATGCCAAGCCACAGTGAGAGAAACCACACACGTGCCCAACAGCAGGATATGGGCACATACATTTTTTGCTGTTCTTACATGCAGTTGCCTTGGTTGCAACTCATAACGACCCCGTGTATGGCAGAATAAAGCACTGTCTGATTCAACATCAGCCTCACAATTGTTGAGCTGTTAGCTCACATTTTTATAATCACTATTTCAATCCCTCTCACTGAGGGTCTTCCTCTTCTTTACTGATCCTCTACTTTATCAACCAAGATCTCCTTCTCCAGGGGCTGGTACATCCTGATGACAAGTCAAAGTACCCGAGTCCAAGTCCTGCCGTCCTTGCTTCTAAGGAGCATCCTGCCTGTACTTTCTGTAAGATCCATCTGTTCACTCTTATGGAAGCCCATGGTGTCGTCAGTATCCTTCATGCAATGTCCAACACCGCCACTCAGAAGCGCTGATTCGTCTTCTGTCTTTCTCATGCACTGTCCTGTTTTCACACGCATATGAGGTGACTGCAAATTTTGTGTCCTTACTCTAACACTTGAAAGAAGTCTTTTTCAATAGATTTGCCCAATGCCATATATCATTGAATTTCTTAAGTGTCCTCTAAATAAAATTTAGACTTAGCCATCTGGGACAGTCTAAAGTTATTAAAAGCCTATTTTCTAAAGATATTTAAGACATGTAAAAATGTCATTGATATAGACAGCATTAAATGAAAAAAGATATAAGACCATGTGTATATAAAAAAATCATATAAGTAGGAGTGAGCTGTGTTAGGGGTTAGATCAGGTTGGATTATTATCGCTTTCAGTGCACTTTTCTTCTATTTCCAAATGTATGCTACTCTCTTTTCACCAGAGAAGAAGCTAAAACGATAACCATGCTGTAGAAGCCCTCGGGCTCTGAGGCATGGCGTGGATTGCTACAGCCCCGCTCAGGTGCAGGGCAGTCAAGGGCCATTTCGCGGCCCAGAGGCCCAGCTCTTTCCCACTAAGTTCCCAGGACAGGCGACATGAGCTCTTTTCCAGAATGATCTTCCTGTAACTTTATTTCTCATTTTACTTCAAATCATTTGCCTAAGACTTGGATGGCCCCTTGGAGAACTCATGGGTGCTTCACAACTTCATAGCAATTCAGTAGAACATATAAATGGGTGCTTGGCAGTGCCAATCAGAAGGCTATTAGAATTGCCCTAAACTGACTACTTCCCTCCCACTCACCCGCTGCCACCGAGTCAATGGTGACCCATAGTGACCCCCTGTGGGTTTCCGAGACTGTAACTGGTTATGAGAGTAGAAAGCCCAGTCTTTCTCCCAAGGAACTGCTGGTGGTTTTGAACTGCTGACCATGTGGATCACCACAGCCCAACATGTAACCTCAACATCAAGGCTCAACTAGTTATTACCCCATAACTAACAAGAATGAGGACAATAACTTTTTTTTTTAACTTTTAGAATTTGATTTTGAATCCTCAAATGCTTTTCCACAGGGCAGGTTACTCTTTGTGGAAGTGAATATAGAAAAGGCAATAAAAAATTGATGGTTAGGAAGCAGTCTGTCAACGCTGTCATTTCATGACTGACATCAACCACTGTGAACTACTTTTCATGTGCAGACAAAGCCTTTTGGGTTTTTTGGGGGTTTTTTTGGAGAGAGCTGCAAAACACAAGAGTTCTATATGTTGAAAGCTACTGAAGAGACGTGGGCGTTCCCACAAGTGGGCTGTAGAGTTTCCAGGAACAGCCAATTAGTGTAGCATTGTTATTCATTTCTTTTATTCTCCAACATCTTGTGCTTAAGAATTCCTGCAAACATTTGTAAAATACACACTGGAGAAAATGGGCTTCTCAAACCTTAGATGGAGATAGGGCATCCATTTGCAATAGGCACCTGGCTCTGTCTCCTCACAAAGACAGCCCCATAGGAGGCAGGAAGTGCCATTGAAGTCAGACAAGAGCTTACATGCCAGTCCGGTATTGGATTTCATTCCCTTTGCTAATTGCCCCAAGCACCCTCCTTTCTTCTCCCTCAGCACCAGGCAGCTCTGTAAGCTAAATAGCTGTGTGGCTCTGCTCACAGATAAGGGCTCCCTCATGCAAGCATGGCCCCACCTTTAACTTCTTTTATTTTATAAGAAAATGCTGGACTTGTTCACTAGGCACTCACAGTCCAATCCACCACCTGTCTGTCCATTTGCTGTCTGCACTGGCTTGTGTGTTGCCATCATGCTGGAAGCCATGCCTTTAGTATTTAAAATGCCCTCTGGGCCACTCCTCGTAGATAGGTTTCAGGAGAGCTTCCAGCAAGAGTAACTATCGGAATAAAGGCCAGCAATCTTCCTCTAATGAAAATTACTAATGAAAACCTTAGGGTTCCGAAGGGAGTGTTATCCGGCTCTCTTGGGACACCTCACCAGGAGAGAGAGATGGCTGGAGGAGGGTGCCATGTCTGGTGCACTAGAGAGCCAAGGGCAATGAGGAAGACCCTGGGTGGATGGAACGACACAATGACCTCGACAAGGACTCAAACACCCTAGTGCTTGACAGGACAACACAGGGCTGAGCAACATTTCATTTTGTTGTGCCTGAGTCACAGCTGCTGTGACGGCAACTAGCAATCACAGCACTCTGATCATTACAAATTTCATTTGTTTTACAAGGAAGCCACAAGCTATTTCTGGAACTATTTGCACCCTTCCTTAAAAGAGCCAAAGAGTGTCTCCTCATTGGTGGGCTCTGAATTTTAAGTTGTTTAATCCCAGTTTTATTTGCATAAGACCAAGTCCAACTTATAAAAACAAAACAAAACAAAACACCACATCACCAAGAGGACTTTTCATGTATCACAATATAGCAGTAAGATTGGACTCTGATTCAAATCGTATTCTCCGACCAATACATCCTAGCTGGAGTAGGGTAGTGGATCTTGTATAAAGGGCAACTGTCATAAAGCTTAATTTATTTCTGCTCACATTGTTACATTATTGATACTACACTCACATCACTCTGGAGGTCATAGGCCTGCCGAGCGTGGATGACGTCATTCTGATCAGGCAGGCAGGTCCACTCATGGATGGGATGCTTGTAGTCGATGTCGCTAACAAGAATCTGGCACTTCTTGGCCAGCACCACCCCCAGCATGTCCACTGGGCTGGAGTACTTGGTCTTCCACTTCTCAAAGTCCTTCTTGTACTCTCGG